TCAAAAAGACAAGATAAAGGGCAGAAACAGTAGAACAAAGAAGAATATCGGAGATCGAGGAGAAGAAATATAGATCGAAGGGACGAAATCAGAGAGTTCTAGGAAAGATTTACTCAACATTCAAATCTGAATTTTAAAGAACTATATGGGGGTATTTATAGCAAACTAAAACCTAGACATAACAGGATAAAAATCACTTGCTTAAATAGAAATTCTAATCCAAATAAAATAGGAAACTTAAAACTAAAATCTGGAAATCTGGAATCCTACTAGAATTTGAAAACTAGAGAATCTAGGAAATCTAGGAAACTAATAAATTTAGGTCCTACAAGTCCTGCATCACAGGTTTTTTGTTATTGTAAGCATGTTTTCTTTTATGCCTACACCGGCCAAACCAAACTGCACCAAACCAGTTTGGTTTGGTTTGGTTTTCATTTTGATTTTAGCTCAAACTGAACCACACCAGACCGTGAAAGTTTAATTGATTCAGCTATGGTTTGAGGGTGAAACCGGACCAAACCAAACCATGTCCACCTCTAATTTATACCGGTAAGATCATAGCTAAATGTTCCCAAGTGTTGAAGAATGTAAAAAATCCCACGTTGGAATCTTGACAAAATAAAATAAAATATATATTAAGTGGTTCTACTATTAATAGTACCCATATCTTTTGTGATAAAACTCCACACATACTGAGTGTGGGCTGCTAGCCTGTCTCTCTGAAATCTTTACACCAAGCGATCAACCAAAGTTTTTTAATATGTTAATTTTGGTGACATTGAAAAATTATTAATCCCATTGATGGGAAATTGAAGAATGAAAAATTAACCCATTGATGGGAAATTTGTCATCAATGCTTCTGAATTTGGTATTAGTTGAATCCTGCTTTCGTCATTGAATTTGAACTAGGCTTCATTTTGCACAATTCTTGTAAAAAAAATCTTCAAGATTTTTGTAGTGGTGAAGGAAATGCAATGTTAACAATTGTACTAGTGAAAGCTTTTTGCCGCAAGTCTTTATGTCTGCAGCAACACTGGAATCCTGTGTTTTTATTTTGATTAGTAACTTTGAGTAGAAATGAAATTATGAGAGAGGTTATGAAAAAATTTGGAATGTTGTTGTTAAATTCAGCTAACAAAACGCTAAAAAAAAAAAAAAAAAAAAAAAAAAACGATTGATGGCTCTTTAAGAACTATTTTGAATTGAAGAGAGAATTTAACACATCAAATCCGTGATGATAACTCTATAAAAAAAATAACATGAACTTATGCTGTAACCATCCAAATTCTGCTCAAACATTGAATTGATACAAATGACAATCCATGAAAAATTCAGTACATGAAAAATACCCATCAGCTAATACTAAAATGGAAGTGGAAAATGAGTCTCATACGAAATTTTTTCAACTGAAAAAAAAAAGGGCAATATATAAACCATCAGATCTGCTCTAAACATTTGAATGATATACAAATGAAATCCAGTACAGAATTATAATACACTTCAACACATGGAATTGAAATGGGATTGTTTCTCAAGAATTGATGAGGTTTAGAGATGTGAAATTGCAACTTGCTATTCCAAACTTCAAGAACTCACTCTGTAGAGTCTGCATCCAGATCCTCATAAAATTATTCAGAAGAGGACTCAACCTCCTCATCTTCAGAAGAGGACTCAACCTCCTCATCAATGTGCTGAAAAGAGGGAAACAATATTAAACTAGAAAAATAACTCATCAGCTTATACTAAAATTGAATAAACACAATAAGTTACACCACATTGATAGTGTTCATCCAATGCACTAAATGAGAGAATCGTCAACTTGGGACTTAAAACGAGCCTCTGAGTGTTTTTTATAATGATGCAGAAAGCTACAACATTCAGAAAACTGTAGAACTTCATATTTTGAGATACTTAGATCATAAGCTAGCTAGGGAAAATTGAATTATGCTATCATCAATTAGTCCCACAAATCCATAAAGAATGTGACCATGCTGACCAGTATTCCTATCAGTACAATTTAACAAAACAAAACATGATCATATCACTAAAAACAGAAAAGTTCCTTCAATTCCTATATATCATCAGATGGAGATGCAAAATACATTAAAGAAATCTATCAGAATCCCAGTTAATGTAAATCCTAGCCATCTAGAAATCCCATCTTAATGATTTCCTTTGTGCGATTTGGCTTGAAAGAAGAAGTATTTTGTTCAACAAGAGAGAGGGGGTGAAGAGAACGATGTACAAATATAAGTGTACATTTCTCTCTCATATTTTAGAGCACCCAGGGGTCTCCTTATTTTAGGATCAATACAGGAGCATATTTGGAGTTGGGTTCCTGACATTCACTCTAAATTTTAACTTAGAATCTCATCTAGGGAGGAGCCCATTGGAGATGTTCTCTAAAAAAAAAAAAAAAAAAAAAAAAAAAAAAAAAAAAAAAAAAAAAAAAAAAAAAAAAAAAAAAAAAAAAAAAAAAAAAAAAAAAAAAAAAAAAAAAAAAAAAAAAAAAAAAAAAAAAAAAAAAAAAAAAAAAAAAAAAAAAAAAAAAAAAAAAAAAAAAAAAAAAAAAAAAAAAAAAAAAAAAAAAAAAAAAAAAAAAAAAAAAAAAAAAAAAAAAAAAAAAAAAAAAAAAAAAAAAAAAAAAAAAAAAAAAAAAAAAAAAAAAAAAAAAAAAAAAAAAAAAAAAAAAAAAAAAAAAAAAAAAAAAAAAAAAAAAAAAAAAAAAAAAAAAAAAAAAAAAAAAAAAAAAAAAAAAAAAAAAAAAAAAAAAAAAAAAAAAAAAAAAAAAAAAAATGTTTTCAAATGGTCGTGGAATCCACCGACATCTTTTCCATAACCAAACCACGACGGTGAATAACCGTCGTTGTTAAAACAAAAAACGTCATCAAAAAATAAAAACCGACGTCTTTGTGCTGCAAAAAGACATAAAAAAAGTCGAGGATGAGAATAGACGACCAACTCCAACAAAAAAACGTCGTTAAAAAGGAAACAGATGACATATATTAACAGAACATGGCCGCAAGATAAACATACAACGACGAGAACTTAAACTTCACGCCGTTAAATAAATATTTAACGACAAATATAAATACGACGTCTTTACAATAATAATAGACGACGTTATTGACACCTACTACGTCACAACATTTCCCACAACCGTCGTAAAATAAATTTTCCACTTCGATTTTTCTATGAATTATGACGTGGAAATAGATGTCAGGGTCATTACTTACGACGCATGTATTTACAGAGACGACGTTGAATTGATAAATAACGTCGGTTTCAAATAAATGAGAGCCGTATTACAGAATTTATACGTCATATTTTGAAAATAAACGACGTGGAAAAAATGATGGGGTCATTAATTACGACACAGTAATTTATAAGGACGACGTTGTCGTCTATATACAACGTCGGTACCATGAAAAAGACCGTCGTGTTTAATAATTTGTACGTCTTCATTTAAAAAATTGACGTCGTCTAATGCATATATCTTAACGTCGACAAGTTTAATGGACTTCAAATACCGTCGTAAAATAAATTTTCCACTTCGATTTTTCTACGAATTATGACGTGGAAATAGATGTCAGGTTCATTAATTACGACGTATGTATTTACTGAGACGACGTTGAAATGAATAAACAACGTCGGTTCCAAATAAATGAGAGCCGTATTACAGAATTTATACGTCATATTTTGAAAATAAACGACGTGGAAAAAATGATGGGGTCATTAATTACGACACAGTAATTTATGAGGACGACGTTGTCGTTTATATACAACGTCGGTACCATGAAAAAGACCGTCGTGTTTAATAATTTATACGTCTTCATTAAAAAATTAACGTCGTCTAATTCATAAATCTTAACGTCGACAAATTTAATGGATTTCAAATACCGTCGTGAATTCATCCTTTTCCACTTCGTTTATGAAAGAACATGCGACGTGGTAAATTCATGACGACGTCGTCTTTTGTAACGTTCAGGTTAAAGTTCTCGTCTTTTAGACGTCGGTGTTATGGGATTGGAGACGTGTTATGTTGAATTACATGGCGGTTCTTTATCAAAACCGTCGTGTTTGTAATCTGGAACCAGTAATTTTTGTACTGATTGTTTTGTGGCCAAAACCTGTATAATGAAAGTGAAGAAATCACATTACAATATATTACAAAATTAATGTCATACACTGCCAATTACATAAAGCATCATTCAACCCATATATCTTCACACCCATCTCGAATATTTTGACTCCCTAACTCAACCACCACTTCATCAAATGTGTCAACATTTGGCATCCCCCTAGTAAATGGCTCACACTCAATTCTCACATCACCTAAGACATCATCACCAATAACATCATTATATTCTCTATTAGGCATTGATAACACTACCGACCAACCACGATGCATCGGGTCGTCAACAAAAAATACTTGTTTGACTTGAGAAGCCAAAACAAATTGGTCATTCCTATGTCCAATTTTACTCAAATCTACAAGGGTAAATCCAAGTTCGTCCACTACAAGACCAGAAGTATTATCAATCCAATCACACCTAAAGACTGGGATTGTAAACTTTTGGTAGTCAAGGTCCCAAATTTCTTGAATGACACCATAGAAACCCATATTTGAGAGAATTGGGTTTTTATCCTTGGCACTAGCAACTTGCATAGTATGTGCAAGTAACTAAACTCCACTATTTTGAGTTGTCCGCACATCATCTTGTGCCTTGATGTTGCATTTAATACCTTTAATGAGATAGCTCCTATATACTGCACTGCCATGGTTTGGACAGCTGCTCTCTCACCTTAATTTTCGATACGCCATGATTGGTCTTCCGCATTAAAGTTACTTTGAACCTGCAAATTAATCATAACTTAATTCAATCTAACACAGAAAGAAGAAAATTAAAAGTCCAATATGTTATTCAATAACATATACCTTGAAGCGTAGCCATTGAAGAAAGTGCTATTGGCTATCCTTCAGCCACTTTGTTCTCTTTCTAAATTTTGGATAAGCGGTCTGGATGTGGATCATATGTTGCCTACATGACACACAAAATTCAAGTATTACGGTCCCAAACATATAAGATAAACATAAGAAATAATTTAAAATGGAAACTTAAAGAATAAAACTCATAGTACTGATATAAGGTAGGACTTCCTCCGTATCTCCAAGACATATAGATGTGCTTGGTTCAACAGGTCCCGATCAACTACGCTCACTGTGCAACCTGATAATGGCTTTGAAACTCCCATCTTTTGGCTTGAAGGCACTCCAACTGTACTAACATCAGATAAATGCTCGGTACAAAACTCTACAGCTTCTTCAGCTATATACCGCTCAGCAATGCAACCTTCGGGACGAGTACGATTTGAACATACCCCTTTAGCACTTTCATATATCTTTCAAACGGAACATCCATCTAAAATATACTGGCCCACACAGACGAACTTCTCTGACAAGATGTACTACTAGAGAACCATGAATCAAAGAATGCAGGGGGAAAGTTACTTTCAAGCAAATACAAAGTAACTACTACATCGTCTTCCAATTATCTAGCTTGGAACATCAACAGTCTTTGCACATATGGCATTGAGAAGAAGCACAAACGATTATTGATACCTTGCAGGCTTCCCAAAACAGAACGTAATTGCAAAGGGAGCAAATTGTTGCATCGGTATGGACAATCATGTGATAAGGCCAAGAAGTCTTGATCTGTAAAGATACAAGATTTTTTATATTTGAAGAATAACCTTCAAGGACCTTCATACCATAGAAAGAATTGCAAACCTCTCTCTTCTCTGCTCGTGACAAATTCCAAGGCCCGGGAGCAAACGAGTACGTCTTTCTCCATACTCGGGTTGCAAATCGTTTTGACCCCCATGTTCAATAAATCTAATCGAGCAGCAATCCCATCTTTATTTTTTCCAGGGATCTCCAGCATGTACCAATGATACTATCGCAAACATTCTTCTCAATGTGCATAACATCTAGGACATGCCTCACAGGAAGGTATTTCCAATACTCGAGATCAAAGAATATTGATTTCTTCTTCCAACAAACTCTGTCACCATCTTCAACCATATGCAGCACTTCTTCTCCGGTTAATGGCTCAGGAGGCGTGCCATATTCAGGTTTCCCATTAAAAGCTGCACGTTGCCTCCTATATGGATGATTGATCGGTAACCATTTTCTATGCCCAATGTAACAAATTTTGTGGCCATTTTTCAACCTGTGACTAGGTGTATCATCGCCGCATATTGGACAAGCTTTATATCCTTTAACAACACAACCAATAAGTTTCCATAGGCGGGGAAATCATTAATTGTCCACATTAATGCAGCTCTGAGTGTAAAGTATTCTCCATTATGTGCATCATACACTCCTCCAATCCCATCCCACAAAGATTTTAAATCATCAATCAAAGGCTCCAAGTAGACGTCTATATCATTTCCCGGGCTGTTTAGGACCGGAAATCAATAAGGTCAACATCATGAACTTTCGTTTCATGCACAGCCATGGAGGGAGATTATATGTAACTAAGATAACTGGCCAGCAACTATATCTGCTACTTAGAGAACTGTGGGGATTGAATCCATCAGATGAAAGAGCCAATCTCAAGTTTCTCGGCTCATTACCAAACTCGGGCCATTTATCATCAAGAAGTTTCCAAGACGGGGAATCCGCTGGATGAGACATATAACCGTCAATTGATTTTCTAGCAGCATGCCAAGTCAAACTCTTAGCGGTCTCATGTGATCGAAACATCCTTTTAAACCTTGGAATTGGAGGAAAATACCACACCACCTTCGCTGGCACACCCTCTTTCAAGATTGAATCTTTGCCTTCCTTCCACCTTGAGATACCACAATTAGGACAATGAGTTAAATCCTCATACTCCTTCCTATACAAGATGCAATCATTGGGGCATGCGTGCATTTTCTCATAACTCAGCCCCAATGCACACAAAGTCTTTTTTGCCTCATACATAGAGGCCGGTATTGTATTTCCGTCTGGAAGCAAATCGCCTTGAAGTATCAATAATTCTGTAAAACAGACATCACTCATCCCATATTTTGCCTTCAAATTATACAACTTCACTAATGCCGATAACTTCGTGTACTTTCTACAACCAGGGTACAATGGTTGATCTCCATCCCCAATCACATTGGCAAACTCATAAGGATCAGATCCAAAATCACCAAAATCATTATCATCCATCTCTATTTCTTCAGACACAAAACTGTACCTACTATGGTCATCATCTTCTTCAACATTTCTACTAGCATTAGTAGCTGCTTCCCAAGGTTCTCCGTGAAATGTCCAATTCTTATAGCTTTGGTCAACTCCATTAAAGTATAAGTGATCCCTTATAATTCCAACCCCAAACAATTTCAAATTAACACATTTAACACATGGACAACGGATATGTGTGGTAGTTAGAAGATTTTCTACAGAAAAGTTCAAAAATGCTTCCACCCCTAACTCATATGCCTTCGATCTTCTATCCGAGTGCATCCATGACTTATCCATCTCCGACACTATACCCTATTATATATAATAAAGTGAAAAGACAAGCAATGACCATCACTATAGCAGATTACATAAAGTCTAATAGCAAGTAATATACAACAGAGACGACGGTTTTTAAACAAAAACAGACGTATTTGACATATATAGACGACGGATTTTACGTCGTCTAATTGTAACCACGACGGTAGTTAAATAACACCGTCGTGTATAAGTAATAAAAACGACGGTTTAAAGTAAAAACCGTCGTCGTATGCCTGAAAACGCGTCGATATCCAGTTTATTTTCAAGATCCCAAAACCCTATTAAGAACACAACATAGACATGAAACCAAGCAAGAAACCAACATATACATGAAACCAACATATACTAAGCATGAAAACAATAAATCCATTCCCAATTCAACATAACAGAGAGTGATTAAAAGATCCGACAAAATGAAATCCATTCCATATTCAACATAACAGAGAGTGATCAAGAAAACATTAAACAGAAAATCCATGAACCCATACCTCCAACAACATTATTAACAGATCGCAAAACATATACCTAAAACCCTTTAACAAAACACCGTAATATATCATTCAATGAATTTACAAGGGGAAGAGAGGGTTTGTACTTACAGGTTGGCAGAGCTCACAGATTATGACCAAATTGGATTTGACACAGCCTGGCCCAACTTTGAATTAGAGATGAAGTGAGAGAGCGAAATGTTATGTTGCGCGAAATCAGAAAATTTTAGGGTTCAGGGTTAGAAGTATAAAAATAAGAGCCAAATCTGAAAATTTTAGGTCCCGCGAATATTTTAAGAAAGCGCGCTTTTTAAAACATCGACCGAAAATACAAGCGTCGTTAAAATTGAACATTAAAGATGACGCTTATTACATTAAGGACGTCGTGGTAAAACTATGTACCACGCAAAATCAAAAAAGGCGTTAAAACTATGAAAAACCACGGCGGGGTTAAGTAACTAACGACGTTGTAAACAATAATAAACGACTAACAGGTAAACAAAACGTCGTTTAAAAAGAAACCACGTCGGATTTTTCACCATACGACGTAAACTCAATATTCCACGACTCAATCACCGTCGTTAAAAGTAATACCCTAAACTTTAAAACCATAAATTATATATGTGTAAAATTTAATTTTATAAAATTGTTTATGGTTTTACATCCTAATAAATAACAAGCATAAACCCTAAACCCCAAAAATTATACTTTATCCATAAACCCTAATAAATAACAACCCTAAACCCCAAACCCTAAACCCTAAACCCTAAACCATCAAACTATATAAGTGATGCTATGACTCATAAAAACAATTTTATTTTGGTTGGTCATTTTAAACTTTCATTACACAAACTGCATTTTTTTGGGGTTTAGGGGGAAGAAAATATATCAATGACTTCATAGGAGTTGAAGTTGAATTTTTTGAATTTATTTTAAATTTATTTTTAAAATTTTGAATTAAAAATAATAAAATATTCTTATATCAACAACAAACCACGGCGGGGTTAAGTAACTAACGACGTTGTAAACAATAATAAACGACTAACAGGTAAACAAAACGTCGTTTAAAAAAGAAACCACGTCGTATTTTTCACCATACGACGTAAACTCAATATTCCACGACTCAATCACCGTCGTTAAAAGTAATACCCTAAACTTTAAAACCATAAATTATATATTTGTAAAATTTAATTTTATAAAATTGTTTATGGTTTTACATCCTAATAAATAACAAGCATAAACCCTAAACCCCAAAAATTATACTTTAACCATAAACCCTAATAAATAACAACCCTAAACCCCAAACCCTAAACCAAACCCTAAACCATCAAACTATATAAGTGATGCTATGACTCATAAAACAATTTTATTTTGGTTGGTCATTTTAAACTTTCATTACACAAACTGCATTTTTTTGGGGTTTAGGGGGAAGAAAATATATCAATGACTTCATAGGAGTTGAAGTTGAATTTTTTGAATTTATTTTAAATTTATTTTTAAAATTTTGAATTAAAAATAATAAAATATTCTTATATCAACAACAAACCACGGCGGGGTTAAGTAACTAACGACGTTGTAAACAATAATAAACGACTAACAGGTAAACAAAACGTCGTTTAAAAAAGAAACCACGTCGTATTTTTCACCATACGACGTAAACTCAATATTCCACGACTCAATCACCGTCGTTAAAAGTAATACCCTAAACTTTAAAACCATAAATTATATATGTGTAAAATATGAAAACCTCAGCAAATTGTTTTTTCTTTTATAATATGAAAACCTCAGCAAATTGTTTTTTCTTTTATAATATGAAAACCTCTGCAAATTTTCAGGGAAAAAAAGGATGTATATTATAGACAAAATTTGTACATTATATATATTATAGACAAAATTAGTACATATAAAAATATCAAGTGTTCCAAAAATCCTCTAATCCATATGAAGGCAAACAAACTCTGCCCATTCTTTCCTGACTTCATCAATGGCTGCTTGGGGGTATGGCGCTTGATCTTTTCCCTTGGCAAACTGCAATCCATAAACAACGATTATTAAGCTTTACAAAATAAAAAGAAATTCAGTCACAGACGACGTTTTTTTTATAACCGACGTAGTCTATCGATTCAACGACGGTAATTTTAAATGACCGTCGTTGATAATACAAAAACCAAATAAAATGTTTCTGAAATTTTTTTCTTACCTTCTTCTCAAACTCCAAGGAAGGATCCATGATGATGTCCCTCATGAAGCGCATGACATAATACCCGCATTCGACACTGCTGGGTTGCTTTGGTGTGCCTGGCAGAGTTTTCCAAATTGGTGCTTTACGGCCTGGTCTGCCTATGTGGGAATTATAAATTTTTAAAGCACTGTTCACGATGTTTTTGCCCTCCTCATCCACCACACGATTTCCAGGCAGAGGATCCAGAAAATAGACGGTTTCCCTCTTTGCCCTCACAATCAGCAAGACCCAATGACGGCTGCACAAAAATAAAATAAAAAACGACGGTTATTTATAAAAACCGACGTATTATATAGTTTCACACGACGTAAGAACTTAATCATCGACGTGATTATAAATTTATCACGACGAGAATTAACTACCGACGTGGTTAGTTGTTTCAAACGATGGTATAAATAAATAACCGACGTGGTTAGATGTTTCAAACGACACAGAATTAGTTAAACAGTTTTATAAGTGAAAATCATACAAACAAAATCCATTTAAGGAGACTAACCCTGGATTGTAAGGCATCATGAAAATCTGTTCACCATCTGTTTTCTGAAGTCGACTGGCTACAATTCGTGATCTGTCAGTTAGTGACCCAGCGTTGGCACTAAC